TTATTCTATCGATATTACTTTGGATTTCGTTCCACTGAGCATACCTCTCCAGATTCTCTCCAATTGTTCATCCTCGTGGGTCCCTAATACAAGGGGCTAGTCGATCATTTTAAGTGAATATCGCCAAGGGTTGCATTTCGGACTTCAAATCAGCTTTTTTCCCAAGAACAACACAACTGTGGAACACTATCCTCCATTCAGTCATCCCTCCAACAAAGAAAGTTAACCTCAGTGGTCAACAGAGAGAGAGTACACAATCCAAGTGTGCACACAACTTTTCAAGCATTTTGACCTAATAAGAAATGACAACAAGAACGCCACTGATGTCGGTTAGTTGTCATATACATCAGTGTATCCAATCAAACCAATTGCAGTCTTTTGGACTAAAACCTGGAAGACGAGAGACACCGACTTTGTTCAATCGCTCATTGCATTTCTTCACGTCTCGTTTTCGTATCATCTGTTAACCTCCACGTGGATTCTTCTGACCTGGAGCTGCGACTGCGTATAAGGCGCGGTGTGGTAGATGAGGGAAACATCGCGTCTGCACCAAAGGTGTTTCAATCCTGCGTAAGCTGCTCGAGTCTTGGAAATGCGGGCAGTTACTTCATTTACTATGCTACCGTCATTTGTCACGTAGCTACCTAAACAGGAGAAGCAATCCACTACAGCTAATTTTTGACTATGAAGTGTCAGTACCGGGGTAGGCGACAACCAATCTTGTAGCATCACTTTGCACTTTGAAGGTGCAACGCACATACCGAACGAAGTCACAAAACTTGAAAATCTGTCAAGAGAGCTGTGCGCATCCTCCATACATTGAAACAGGCAAACGATCTCGTCAGCGTACTCCAAATCACACAGCTTTTCTCCAGCTGCCGATTTAACATTTTGGAGACCACTAGGTGCGTTCTTCAGTATTTCGTCTACGACGAAATACTGCACAGGAATGGAGAAACAGGGCTCCCTTGACGAGCGCCGCTCCTGGTTTCGAACGATTTACTTACCCCACCGTAGACCTCCACGCTACAAGAAGTATGCACGCACAGTAATCGCAAAATGTTTACATACTTTCGCAGCGACCACACAAGAGCTTCGCTGTTAACTGAATCGAAGGCTCCTTTTGGGTCAAGAAACACTTCAAATGTTGATCGAAGATGTTTGTGGCGCATTTCGCGGACCTGACACAGGGTGAATAATCGATCGATGCAACCGCGACCTAGTCGGTATCCAGCTTGCTGTTTGCGGACATTCCTCAAGGGCGATCGTCACTTCCTAGCTTGAAAAGAATTGGGAGAAACCCATCAGGTCCCGCTGGCTTCACTTGTTTAATGATTGAATACTGTTTCGTATTCCAGTTGTGATAAGGGCTCACATGTTACCACCCATGGAGTTTCCTCTGCAATTTTCCGAATAACCGCATCAACCATTGAAATGTTCACCAAAAAATTCTGCCCAAAGATCAAGTCGTTCTTTATTGTGGATGCTTTGTCCACTTTTATCGCATATGGTCTCACTGACCGATATGCGACGACCTCTGGTGCTGCGTATCAGGTGAAACAGTCTTTGACTATTCCCTGATGCAGAAGCTACCTCCATTTCACTAGCTATTTGGGCTTACCAATTCTCACGATCTTTCTTTAGGCTTTTCCTTAATCGGCGTTGCAGGCGCAACCGGTCCCTATGGTGATCCTGGAAGATTGGGATTTTTCGCACAAGCAAAGTTTGTTGTTGAGTGCATCGCAAATTTAATCTGATTCCACTGTTAGTCTAATCTATTGTTTCGTTCGAAAAGAATTCATATTCAATCTCCAAAGAGATGTAGTTTGAATGTCTAATCATTGCACACAGTGCATTCAGTTGGAGAACACATGGTGCGCAAATAATAAAATTTCTGACTATTCTTTGGTAAAGAACCGCCCGACTGAGCATAGCCTACTATCAAATGGGATTTGATACATAAGAATTTCAGTCCTTCTATTGAAAACCACATTGAAATAAGTGAAATAGCGACCATGATGCAACAGCAGTGAGGTTTAAACATTTTGTTAAGGTCAGAAGACAGGCCGTGATATGAAAAAGGAAATTTCGTGAGTGCAATCTAAAAGCACAATGTATATTTTCCGGAGTTTGCGCGATCAGACAGTCAAACGATTGACCCGAAATTAAGCGAACCTTCAGTACAATTAAATCGTGAATCCGTAGTTCATCACGATATTATTTTACTTCAATTCTTGAATGCACCTGAGCCGCTGTCGGTGAATATATATATATATATATATATATATATATAT